TTTTTTTTTTTCCCCGACAGTATCACTCAGTTGCCCTGGAGTTGAGTGCTATGGTGTTACAGCTCACAGCAACCTAAAATACTTGAGCTCAAGTGATCCTCTTGCTTCAGCCTCCTGAGTAGCTGGACTGTAGGTGCCTGTCACAAAGCCCAGCTATTTTTGTCTCACTCTTGCTCAGGCTGGAAAATCTTGACAGTGTATCTTGGATGTTTCTTACTTAAATATTTCCAATTTTATGTGATTATCCTGGTTTAACTATTAACAAGCAAGCATTCTCTACTTTCAAGAGTTCTAGTTTGTCACCCTCAGTTAAAAAAATTTAATTTCCCTTTCCTTATCTATACTCTCTTACTAAATTACTACTGCACTTATCCATAAGATATATATACATAACACACATATTCAATTTGCTTTATAATCAACACAAAAAAGCTTAATGATAAGAAGCAGCATACCTTCTGGGATACTCATTTTGGTTTGCAACAGAAACTTGTTCTGGGTCCAATCCAACAAGGCGAGTTGGAAAACTGCAACCATCACCCAAGCTGCATAATGAAAAATATCAGTAATAATTTGAATCATATTCAGTTAAATAGGTCAAATGTAACACTAGCTTTTCAGAGGTATGGTTTAAAGAAGTTACTTTTAACTTGTCATTTCAGGGAATAATCTCTAAGATTTTTAATGTTGAAGACATAAGCCTTTTTAAAAAATAATTTAAATACACTTAGAAATAATGTCTTCCAGGCCTATTACGATTATTATGCTTAGCATAGCACCTGAAACATAAGTATTCAAATATATGGGTAACTGACCTGCTTATCACAATCATTTATGACATAATTCAGGCTCAAACTGAAATTCAAGATGTAAATTCCACATATTTACTCATTCAACAACATTCATCAAATGAGTACTCAATGTCTGAGGTTCTGAGTACTATTGTTAAGAACTAGGGATATAGCTGTGAACAAAAGAGAAGAAAATCTTTGCCTTCAAAAAGGTTATAGTTTTAAAAAAGTATAGTTATGCCTTACTTTCACATTCTAAACACATAAAAAACTGCATGGAACATGGACTTTCAAGCCATGATGGAATAACTGGTACACTTGACATGTAAATAGTCAGAAACTGAATAGTATAAAATAACTGTTCTCAAAGAAGCACAAGCTTCCTGCCAGGACCTTATCACCAGGAGAGAAAACTGAACAGAGCAAGGTAGTTTCACTGAACTGAAGCAACAGAGCTGCAAGTTTTGAGAAGCTGAGGTGGCTTGAATCTACCAAACAGAGTTGAGAGAGAGCAAGATATGCAGATAAATGGCTACAGAACTATAGCAGTACTATACTTAAGTCTTTTTTTTTTTTTCTTGAGACAGAGTCACCCTGGGTAGAGCCTCAAACTCTTGAGCTTAAAGCAATTTTCTTGCCTCAGCCTCCCAAGTGCCTGGGACTATAAGCGCCCGTCACAGCACCCGGCTATTTTTTTCTTTTTTTGTTTGCAGTTGTCATTGTTGGCCCGGAGTGGGTTTGAACCCACCAGCCTTGGTGTATACGGCCGGCGCCCTACCCACTGAGCTATGAACAATGCCTATATTAAATACTAAGCTGCGGCAGGATGGGCGCGGTGGCTCCGGCCTATAATTCTAGCACTCTGGGAGGTTGATGTGGGTGACAGCTTTGAGACTAGCCAGAGCCAGAGGGAGACTTTGTCTCTAAAAATAGCTGGGTGTTGTGGCAGGTGCCTGTACTCCCAACTACTTGGGAGGCTGAGGCAACTGAATTGCTTCAGCCCAAGAGTTTAAGGTTGCTGGCTCGGCACCTATGGCTCAGCAGCTAGGGTGCCAACCATATATACCAGAGTTGGTAGGTTCAAATCCAGCCTGGGCCTGCTAAACAATAACAATGAATACAACCAAAAAATAGCTGGGTGTTGTGGTGGGCATCTGTAGTCCCAGCTACTTGGGAGGCTGAGGCAAGAGAATCACTTAAGCCTAAGAGTTTGAGGTTGCTGTGAGCTATGACATGATGGCATTCTACACAGGGCCACATAGTGAGAAGTGAGACTCTGTCCCCAAAAAAAGAAGTTTGAGGTTGCTGTGAGTTATGATGTCACAGCACTCTACCAAGAGGGACAAAGTGAGACTCTGTCTCAAAAAAAAAAACAAAAACAACCAAGCTGCACATGTGAATCCGGGTAAAGAACAACTGGGAAGCATAAAGGAAACAATTCACAGAGGTCTCACAGCACTGGGAGACACTGAAGAATCTGACCAGCCAAAGTGGAGAGCTCTCACTGAATACATATGGATTTGGTAGAGACTCCACCTTTACTGTAAAGGAAACTAGCTCTAGAGAAAATGCTACTCCATACCCAACCTAATAAAGCTTAAAACACAGCCTCAAAAAACCTAAGCTGAGGTGGTGCCTGTAGCTCAGTGGGCAGGGCGCCAGTCACATACACAGAAGCTGGGGTTCAAACCTGGCCCAGGCCAGCTAAAATGATGACAACAACAACAAAAAAATAGCCAGGTGTTGTGGCAGGCGCCTGTAGCCCCAGCTACTTGGGAGGCTGAGGCAAGAGAATCACTTAGCCCAAGAGTTGGAGGTTGCTGTGAGCTGTGATGCCAGAGCACTCTACCGAGGATGACATAGTGAGACTCTGTCTCAAAAAACAAACAAACAAAAAAACCTAAGCTGAAATATAACTTAACTGCCTGCCAAAACAAAATTAAACATTTTTTAAAGGGAGACAATAAAATCTAGATACTTAGCAAAAACATTTAAAATGTTCACTATTCAATTAATAATGAACTACACATGAAAAGAAAAAGAAAATGTGATCCACATAGCTAAGAAAAATAAGTCAACAGAAAACAATCAGAAAATTAGCAATTTCAGGCAGGGCTCAGTGGCTCCCAGCTATAACTCTAGCACTCAGGGAAGCTGAGGTAGGTGGATTGCCTGAGCTCAAGGGTTTGAGACCAGCGTGAGCCACAGCCAGACCTTGTCTCTAAAAACAGCTGGGCATTGTGGTAGGTGCCTGTAGTCGCAGCTACTCAGGAGGGTGAAGCAAGAAGATCCCTTGAGCCCAAGAGTTTGAGGTTGCTGTGAACTATGACACCACAGTACTCTTCCAAGGGCGACAAAATGAGACTATGTCTCAAAAACAAAAACAAAAACAAAAAAAAAGAGAAGAAATGGATATAACAAAAAGAGATATAATTGTAAGAAATAAAAAAGGAGCTGAAAAATACAGTATCTGAAATAAATTCACTGCATGGGCTTACCAGGAGATTAGACACTGTAGAAGAAGAACTCAGTGAACCTGCAGACATAGCAGTACAAATTAACCAAAATATAACAAAGAAAAGAAGGGCAGGGGAGGAGGAAGGAGGACAGAATAACAGTGAAATGTGGGTCACCATCAGGCAATTTAACATAGGTATATCCAAGAGTACCAAAAAAGCTGGTGAGAGGAGGAGATGGAAAAAGGAGGGGGAATAGACATAAAAACAAATGAAGATGTAACTGATAAAAATTATTTGAATCTGATGAAAACTATGAATTCAGAGATTCAAGAAGCTTAATGAACTCCCGGTAGGATAAACACCAAGGAACATTATTATTAAGCTTTTCTCTATCTAATAAAAAAAAAAAGGAAAAAATATGGTATAAATGATCAAAATATTCTGCATTTTCATTCCCAAAGCCCACAAGAATGTCAATATATTTTGTGTATTCTTTAAATCTTAAAACTTTTAACCAGAGAATCAGAGATTACCATAGATTCGATAATCCCTGAGATCTGCATTTTATAAATTACCTTGAAAATACTGGAAGTAGCCAATATTTCTTTTCATCACCAAAGACTTGTCTCCAATTTTTACTGCATCCAAGAGAGAAACCATTTCCATCAGATCCATATGCAAACGTGGGTGCACGGAACGATTCTGTTAAACATACATATACACACATATATAAATTGATCTACTTGAAAATTACAATGAAAAGTACCAATTTTCTTGTTTATATCTTTAATGTAAAAACTATAGATATAATTTAAAATAAAGAATATAGGGTTGGGGCTCATAGCACAATGATTATGGCGCCAGCCACATACATGAAAAGTTGACGGGTTCGAACCCAGTCTCAGTCAGCTAAACAACAATGACAACTGCAACAAAAAAAAGCTGGGTGTTGCAGCGGGCGCCTGTAGTTCCAGCTACTCGGGAGGCTGAGGCAAGAGGATTGCATAAGCCCAGGAGTTTGAAATTGCTATGAGCTAAGACGCCACCACACTCTATTGGGAGCAACAAAGTGAGACTCTTTCTCAAAAAAAAATTAAAAAAAAAAAAAAAGAGAACATATTTGTAGCAATTAATAGATAAACTTCTGAAACCTACTAGAGAAAGAAAACAGATTTATCATTTCATTAACCTATGTCAAAATAATTATCTAATATTTCTGTAAATCTACTATAGTGTGGTCTATCTTTTGGGGGTTGAAAAAGATATTATAACTCTTGTAACTTCATTATTTATTATCTTTCCACTATGTTTTTAGGGCACAGTATCAGGTATTTTGGATTCAAAGGTAAATTAGATGAAATTCTTAATAGTTTATAGTCTAGCAAAATAACAGTGTGATAAATGCTAAAAACTGCACTGAGAGCATAGATACGAAGAAACTTGATTTTGTCTGCACAAGGACATATGTATGTCCTGGGGTGACAGGTTAACTTTCTTACAAAACAGTTTAGTACATAACAAACCCGTTTTATACCTTGCTACATCAGCAGATATATAAATATCTCAAGTATAACACAGCAATGCTTCTCACATGCCAACAGCTCAATGTGAGCAATGCCATCTGTGTTTAGTAAATATTTGTATAATTACTTGAATACCTTACTGAATTTCCCCTCTAATACTTTCATTTTTAAAGTGAGCCAAAAGAGTAAAGGGAAATGAATGCTGATACTAATGATACAATACCTAAGTTTCAGTGACAACTGACACAAAGATGGAAATAATGAAGCATGTGAAATGCACTATTTCTTAGCCTCAATCATGGGACATATACCAGTCAAATGCCTAACTGTGGCGGGGGGGAAGGGGCAAAGTACATGAAATATATTATGTTTTATGTTGTAATAAAAGATAAGATGTGATGAGAAGGATTAAAAAACTTTTTTTGCTCTCTGAGAATGACCCTCCTTAAATCTACTTTCTTTGCTTTTTGTTAATGTTGGCTCTTCCTATGGCATTTTGTTTTTTTTAATTTTATTTTATTGATACAAAATATTTTACATATTTATGGGGCACATGTAAGTATTTGTTACACGCATAAAATGTGTAATGACCAAGTTGGGGTATCCATCATTTTGAGTATTTATCATTTCTTTGTGGTAAGAACATTTCAAGTCCTCTCTTCTAGCAACTATACCATGTATAATACATTGTTGCTAACTATAGCCACCCTACCATGCTACTGAATATTAGAATTTCTTTCTTTTTTTTCTTGAGACAAGGTCTCCCCGTGTTGCCCTGGAAAAAGTGTGGTGGCATCATCATAGCTCATTGCAACCTCAAATTCGTGGGCTCAAGGGATCCTCCCATCTCAGCCTCCTAAGTAATGGGACTGTGAGTATGCACTATCATGTCCAGCTAATTTTTGCATTTTGGGGAGACAGGGTCTCACTGGGTTGCTCAGGCTGTTCTCAAACTACTGACCGCAAGCAATCTTCCTGCCTTGGCCTGCCAAAGTGCTGAGATTACAGTCATGAGCAGTGACCAGTTCTGCCTGGCCAGAACTTATTTCTTCTCCCTAATCAACACTCTTCATCCCCCCAGCCACATGCCCTCCTCAGCTATCTTATATCACAAATGATGGTTAAATGCTACCAAGTAGGTGGTAATGCCTTAGGCAAGTGAGTATTGTCAGGCCCAAGGGCCTCTTATCAAGTGGAGTGTTAACCTTCTCTCCTTTCATATAATACCACAGATGGGTTTCTGAGAAGACTGTATAAATGCAGAAAACAGATTTATTAAAATTTATAAAATATAGCCAATTCCTACTTTTATATGTAATGCATTATTAAAAACATAAAGGTCAATCTCGCTTCTTCAAAATGAATAACCTACATGTTTATTATATACCCACTGTTTCTATCCAGTCAATTTTAAAACAGACTTTTTTGTACTACTCTACGATATTACTCTTGTCCTTCTTTAGTTTTCACATTCATTTGTGTTCATTTTCTTTCCCAAATAACTGTAATACATTTTAATCTACTTACCTATTGTTGTTCTATTTTTTCCAACTAACCAGCAGTGGTAGCTGAAGAGCGAGAGGACGCTGATGAAGAACATTGCAGACACAAAGAAAAGAAACAGTACGTGGAATTTTGCACGTGTATCTGCCAGTTCATTCTAAGGAAGGAAACAAGAAGCTTATTTTGAGAATAGTTAACTTTTAATTTACTTCTGCCTGAAGATTGCTGAATATACCAAAAGTTTGTCAGATATGAAGAAGAGTAAAATAAACTGGATGATGTATCTGAAAGCAACAACTACAAAAGCAAACAATTGGTATTATCAAACCAGCTTGCTTATACAAGAGGTAAGGAAGACTCATGTTAAAAACTGCTTTTAAACATTTAAAAATTTTAGCAATACTTTTAGTAATAAAGTGAAAAACATGAACAATTCTACCTAATAATTTTCTTTTGTACTTTGCATATATTCAAACTTTCCCAAACGGTGATTTATTAATTTTATTTTTTAACTTCTCTATTGTTGTTTTCCGAACACCACTGAAAGGTGCCATGCCCTCAAGCTACTTCGATTTCTACTTTTCTCATCCTTGTTTCATTTCTACAGAGCCTTTGTAGATAATCAACAATTTTGACAAATTTACCATAAGGTACTAATGAATGAAAACAGATTCTCTGTTATCCCTTCATATCACTGTATGCATTTTAATAGAAGCAAACTCATCACCTATAAGGAATTATATTAAAAAAAAAAAAAGGTTTTCTTGGTACTCGCTGGTTATAGCATAGTATCTGTTAGTAGGAAGAAGAGAAAGCCTGTAAGTGTTAGCTCGTAAAATCAAACCATATAGGTAAATCACCTACTCTACCAGAATACAAGGTTGTCCTACTTGATTTAAAAAGCGTTTACAGACTAAAAGAAGGTCATTAGAGTTAGATTATTCTGACGTTTATGTTCATCTCTTTTTTTTCAGAGTAATAATGGTATCGTTTAAACACACCAAGCAATTCCTGTATTTTCCCATCTTGTGAAGTAGATTTTTATTATATATATTCACTATAAATATCACAAAATAGATCATGAGAATGTCATGGCAATTATGTATTTTACCTTTGGACAACTCTCTGTAGATTTCCTGCGGCAAAGCTTGTGCAAATAGAGACAATATATTAAGAAACCAATTTTTAAACAAAATTATCCTAACCCCTAGTCTTATACGTTGTTTTGAAGGAAGACTAAGATGGTCATCTACAACATTTTCTTAAGAAATGCAAAAGAGAAAATAGATAAGAACATTTAGCTCTTCAAGCATATTTCAGGTACTCTTTAAATACATGCTTTTCCTCTCACTTTTTAAAACAGATTTTTGTCTAGGAAGGAATAAAATGTCTTTAGCCAATATTTTTTTAATAAAAAAACTTATGATGAGTAGTTTCCATGAATTAGATCTACCAACTTCTTACTACCTTCACTGTTACTGCTTTTTCCCAGCAGGGATGCTGCAACAGCCCCAACCTAGTGGGGCTGTGTCCATACATGCCACCTCCTACCTACTCCTAGTTTCTCTGCTCTCACTTGACTCCAGTGAAAGCCACAGTCCTTCCAATACTCTCTAAGGCCCTCTGTCATTCGTTCCCTCTTGGGTTTCCCTGTAGCCCCTTTTCACTCATTCTACCCCTGCCCGGTAGCTGCTCCACTCTTACTCCCACAGCAGGGCCACCTACCATGTTCCCTGGTCTCAAATACTCTTCTTTCAGATAGCTAATAATTCCCTTCAAGTTTCTGCTCAAATCCTACCTTCTAAATGAGGTGTGGGCCAGGTGGGGTGGCTCATGCCTATACTCCTACCACTCTGGGAGCATCCCTTGAGCTCAGGAGTTCAAAACCAGCCTGAGCAAGAGTAAGACTCCATCTCTACTAAAAATAAGAAAAATTAGCTGGGTGTTGTGGTGGGCTCCTGTAGTCCTAGCTACTCAAGACGCTGAGGCAGGAGGATTGCTTGACCCTAAGAATTTCAAGTTGCTATGAGTTACGGCACCTCAGCACTCTACCCAGGACGACAGAGTGAGACTGTCTCAAAAACAAACAAACAAACAAACAAAATAAACACACACACAAAAACTCAGGTCTATCCTGACCACTCTCTTTAATAATGCCACTTGCCCCACTTGCAAACCTAAATCTCTTAGCCTGCTCAGCATTTATTACCTGTCTCCCTCTTAAAAGCTCCACAAAAGAAAAGATGCTTTGCCCATTTGTTCACTGTATACTCCAAGTCCTTGTAACACTGACTGCTACAGAAGACGTGCTAAATAAGTATTTCTTGAAGGAAGAAAAGGGTAGATTTAAGTTTACTAGTCTTTTCTTAGTTTTATGATGAATCTAAAAACACTACTCACTCTTTAATTAATAAATCATTGCATGAAAATACTGCTGAGTTTTCTGATAGACAAATGTAAAATTTATGTAGATTAGATTTCATTTATCTGGCACTGAATCCTCTGTTTAAATAGGGTCACTAAGAACAAAGGGCCTGGCTAAGGAAGGCATCAGAGGCCAAAATTCATGAGGCTGAGATTATAAATTGGTAGCAGTGCTCTTGTCTGATGTGGGCAATTGTATTGCAACTGCTAGCATCCTTGAGGTTTAAATATCCAAACGTTAATAACCTAACAATGTTTTAATGAAAAACCTTCAAAATTATATTGGATATTTTCTGAAAATACAATTGTGCTAATGACTCCAGGTTTTAATTAATATTCCTCACACTTATGATTATGAGTAGTAAATTACTTTGGAAAGTACCTGAATGCTGGAAAAGACAAACTGAAATTTAAATTCTGGCTTCTTATGCTATTAAGTACATGACCTCAGGGTAGCTGCATAACAGATCTGTTTCCAGCACTGAAAATTGGAATAACAGCAACTACTTCTGTATTAACTTATTTTCTGTATTCCTATTACTATGGCATCTGGGGCATTGCTAACTGGGAAGAGACTGCTCCTTTAAGGGTTAGCCAATTCTAGGAGAGAGCAAATCTCTCACTTAGGAGCATACTTTTTTTGGGGGGGGTGACAGTCTCACTCTCTTGTCCAGGCTAGAGTGCTACAGCATTACAGCTCACAGCAACCTCAAACTCCTGGGCTCAAGTGATCCTCTTGCCTCAGCCTCCTGAATAGCTGGAACTATAGGTACTTAAGCACCTGACACAATAGCAGGCTAGGTTTTTCTATTTTTAGTAGAGATAGATATCTCACTCTTGCTCAGGCTGGTCTCCAATTCCTGAGCTCAAGCAATCCACCTGGCCTTGGCCTCCCAAAATACTAGGATTGTAGGCAGGAGCCACAGCCCCTGGTTAGGAGCATGCTTTTCATATGCAAACTAACTAATCCAGCACCCAAACTCAGAACCACCTCCTCTATAGGCTCTTCTAGAGTCTCTTGAAATTATTCAGACCAGCCAATCCTTAATCTGCTTACCCTGCCTTTCCCACAGAAGCCACAATAAAAGCTCTGGCCCTCATCCTTCTGTCCGCCCCTGCCACAAACCTAACCCCTCCTCTGAGGACTGTGAGTTAACAAACCACCTTTTTAGTGGTCTTTGTCTCCTGACCTGCTAGCCTAACTATACCTGAACAATAATAAAACCGCATTTTAAAACATCTTTATAGTGATTTGAGGAAGATAAAAAGTGAACAAAAAAGTATTTTTTAACCATAATAATTTCCCTTTCAAAATCAGAGATTGAAATGCAATAAAATATAAATACAATAAAAGTGGCACAAGAAAACAAGGAAGAGTATTTACATAAATTTATACTGAATATGTAAGAGACAGAAATCATAAATAAAAAGAACTGCTTTAAGTATTTTAAAACTTTGATTTGACATAAACAAAATGAATAAAACAGGGTTAGAAGACAGAGAACAGGGAAAAAACAATGACAGCCTGCTTATGACAGAAAAAGCATTAATACCATTAGAAGTGCTTCATATACTGTGGGTATGAGTCCTCTGTGAGATGTATGCTCTATAGTTACCTTCTCTAACAGATGTCCCCCTGCCCTTTTTGACACAGAGTGTCACTTTGTTGCCCTTCATAGAGTACTGTGACGTCATAGCTCACAGCAACATCAAACTCTTGGGCTCAGAGATCCTCTTGTCTTAGTCCCAAAGTAGCTGGGACTATAAGCATCCGCCACACCTGCCTATTTTTAGAGACTGGGTCTTGCTTTTGTTCAGTCTGGTCTCAATCTCCTGAGCTCAAGAAATTCACCTGCCTTGGCCTCCCAGAAGGCTAGGATTATAGGCAGGAGCCACCATGCCCAACAAGATGCCTTTTATTAAAATAAAAAAAAGATTTTTATTTTAATCAAGTCTAATTTATTAATCTTTTCTTTTATAGTTAGTGACTCCACGTTTAATTTAAGAAATTCTCATCTATTCCAAGGCCAAGAATAAAGATTATATCTGTAAAATAATAAATACTTTCATATGAAAATATAAAAGTCTACAAGGAAAAAAATGGGCTAAGAACAGCGAGTTCACAAAAAAGACATGCCAATGGCTTGTAAGCATATGTAAAGTAAAATAAGCAAGTTATTCTATTTTGCCCATAAATTGTCAGGCATTGTACTTAAGAAAGGGAGAGAATAATGATGGGAAATTAGGAAATGGAGGGTCTAAACCAGGCGTCCTCAAACTACAGCCCGCAGGCCACATGCAGCCTGCCTAGGACATTTATCTGGCCCACCAGCTGTTTTTGCAGCCGCTTAGCAGCCAACTCATCCCAGGGCCTGCAGTCTGGCCCTCCAACAGTCTCAGGGTCAGTGAACTGGCCCCCTGTTTAAAAAGTTTGAGGACCCCTGGTCTAAACCATGTTTGTAGGTGAGGCATGGTGGTTCCTGCCTATAATCCTAGTACTCTGGCTGGCCAAGGTGGAAGGACTGCTTGAGGTGAGGTGTTCAAGATCAGCCTAATCAAAAGCGAGACCCTATTCTCTAGGGAAAACAGAAAAAATAGCTGGGTGTGGTGGTGCACGCCTATAATCTCAGCTACTCTGACGGCTGAGGCAGGAGGATCACCTGAGCCTAGGAAGTTGAGGCTGCAGTTAGTTATGCTGAAAGCATTGCACTGTAGCCCAAGCAACAGAGTGAG